ATACATGCTTAATAATTGTGCTTATGGAACGTGGCTGAATTAGAACAATATTCCACGCCCACGCGCCAACCATCTATCTTTGTTTTAAAAGACTAACCTACCAACGCACAGTACTTGCTTACTATAGATATGTAAGCACAAAATAACTGCATCGCCATCATTTATACCTGACTAGATAAACAAATACTTAATTTTCCCTAACACAGGAAAGAATCAATATCAATTTACAATTATCGATTTTTTTTTGTTCCAAAGTATCAGTTGAATGAATTGTATTACATTTACAAAAGGCATTCGTCGTGACGTTATATGAGTTTCGTAATATTTGCAAGCAGTAGCAAACTTGTAGAGAACCTCAATCGATAAATATGACTTACCTACTACAACAGTATGAGTAAGCGAACTGCAGGCTATTATTGTATACAGACGGGTAAATAAGTTCACCGTTATGTAGGTACGAGTAAAGAATGTTCTACGAAATTTTTAAGTTTCAGAAAATTAACAAAATATAAAGTGAGGTATGTATTATGTACTACACTCACATTTGTAAAAAATGGCGTAATTTTTTTCTAGAAAAAATAAGAAGTTTCTCACAAAAACTAATCAATAAATAATAATTATCATCATCATTTTGGTCAGAGTAAGGTGTTACGTAGCGAAAGTATTGACCCGAGTTTCCAAGCCTTCCAAAACAACAATATCATGATCATTCTTTATTTAGAAAACAAAGGTCAAGAAACGATTTAAAAGGAATTTGTGATGGAGTCATGTGTCAAATTGTGTGATCAGGCGGTCCCGCATCGCACGTCAAAACATTCCGCATTCACTGGAAACTACCGCACGACTTTATACCACTTCCCTAGTTATACTTAACGCATGTTTGCACCGAATACATGAAATGTATTGATATAATACTTTATTAGAGACATTGTGGCGCAAGCAAGCAATATTTTTAAAGTTTATTTTTGACGGTTTATAATCGGCCAGTTTCTCGCCATAGACGAGGCGAGAGAGGGTGTCATCATCATTGCGCTTATATCCTATCATAGTAGACCTTGTTATATCTGGTATCTTACATTTATTTACTGTACCCTTATTAGGTTGACTGATAGTTTTTTTGGTGCCCGTACCACATAGAGAAAGGAAGGTCAAGGAAGAAATCACACCTTTAAAAAATATAACATAACTAGCTACTCTCACGCGGTTTCACCCGCTGCTCGGCTCCATTTAATCGTAGTGTGATATTTTACTGCTAGCTACTAGCACTCAGAAACATTGTAGCTTTCTATCAGTGAAAGAATTTTGGCAATCCGACCAGCGGTTCCAAAGATTACTCCCTACATACAAACTTACAAACATACAAACTTAAAAACTGACAAGTTTATCTCTTTATAATATTATCTCTTAATAGTATAGATAATGTATATGTCCTCCATAAAGTTCTTTACAAATAATAGCGTTTACATGTAACAACAAGTATTAAGTTTCTTGTAAAACCTTTTTGAGGGTATACCGTCCACCTACTGCCGAGCCAAAACCGCAGACATCTAAGAGTAACGAGTAACACAAGGCAATTGTTTCCTCACATCTGCTACGTGCGTGCACGCATCTACAGGATGCGAATTTTACAATCCATATATTTATCTACCCACACAAAGGACTCATGTTCAAAATCCTCTTTTGAATATTTTATACAAAATTGGCAATATTTACCGTAATTAGAAATGTTTATCTTGTTTGAACCAATAGTTGGATACCTGCCATTGTATAACAGGTTATGAACAGTTCGATTCAAGTTTGAAAAACTTTCGAAAGTTAATCAAGATCTAAGTTTGCGACAAAGGCTTCACTCCTGAGCAGGTACAAATAAAAGATCAATTAATTGACTGTAGTTACACGTTAGAACTGCAATAAAACTTGTATATTGTGTACACCAACTAATTCACAAGAAGTCCACGGCGCCTTTTACCTTTGAGTTAGAATATTTACAGATTCCAACTACGACTTTGATGCGACCAGGTGGACTCACAGTAATAAACTTAATTATTGCACCTAATTAACCGTATTCTTCAGCAAAACTATGATCACAATTTTATCATACACGTGTCAAAAGAAATGGGGTACCGTATTCTTCAACAAAACTATGATCACAATTTTATCATACACGTGTCAAAAGAAATGGGGCCTCTAAAGCTCAATTAATGAAGCCTTTACTTGCTGCTTAGTGATAACATCATCAGCCTAAGTGCCCGCTGGTGAGCAAAGGCATCTTTCCATACGGAGACGGTTTGAGTATTAATCATTCGCTTGCTCAAAGCGGATTGGCGATTTCAAAGTTGTAATTAGAAATTATTATGTTGGTGACGTCTAAATAAAAAGAAAACATGTATGAAAGTAATTTACTTTTTGTTTCTCAGTGCTGATTTTTCAATAGTCAGATAAATGTTATTTAAGGAAAAAAAATGTAGCTGTCACTCTCTTAGACAAACATTTTGACGCGACAGCATCATAATTGTTCCCCAGGTAACGTTTACCTGACCATTGAAAAATCAGCCCTTAAATGATTGTTATAAAGTCGATGGTCTAACAGACAAGTAAGATTATCTTGACTAGATATAACCACAGTATGTAAGCTTTGTTGTCCTTATTATGAACTTACAATGCACTGAAAGTCTGTAATGTGTGTCTTAGCTAGGAACCTCTAGGCATCTTAATCAGGGATGTTTAAAAGGATTAATATAAACTTCTAGATGCGTTACTCGTTTCTTTTTATTTAGAAAGAAAATTCTCCCAAACTAAATTTCTTAGATGTCGAGGGTGCGTTTACAAACATACATTTCCATGTTCAATGCCCGGAATAATAATTTGTAGTAACACAAAGAGTTCCGTCCGGCCCATCAAGCGAAGGTGAGTCTACATAATACTTTAGTTAGGTACTATCTATTTGTAACGTTATAAATCAAATTCCGGATTTGATACTGGATAATATACTGGAGAATACTTGAATGGTATTGGCAAAGACTGGCATTATGTAATTTCGAAAATTATAGTTAAGTTAAAAGTTTATTTTATGTTTGTACAAATGTTATTGCTTCCCGGAGTCTGAAATTCGCAGATTTTTAAACATAGCTGTAAAATTACGCTTGATAAGCTATCGTGCTTGAAAATTTTGGATTTTTGTCACAGCAGGCAGTTTTTCAAACGCCGCAAGGAAACTGAATTGTAGGTATGCCTATGCATATAGTAACCAGATTTCTATAATCAATAAACTCGGCGGTTTTTAAGTTATTCAATCATATCAAATCTTGAAAACGAACTGACTGACTTGAAACGGAACAACTTCTCCCTAAAATTGTTTATAATAAAAATATAAAATTCGACAGTATTATTATTGTTTAATATTATTATTTATTTTTGTTTATTGTTCTGAAGAACAGGTCTATGCCAAAGTTAATTTAATTATTTAAGAAGTATCAGTTTTATTGTGAAGTTCAATAAAGCTTCGTCTGCTGCACTGCAACTGCACCCTAGTCCTGATTAATATAATTGTAATGACCGAATATATGAATTATAAAACACTTTGAGTACTTAAAACTAATATGTCTTAAAAGTTTGTAGACTACACTCGCATATAAAAAAAACATCAATAGTCCTTTCGTAGGTTTACCTTTTTGAGAAATTTGGAAAATCTTAAATCTAATTTAATTAAACCTCCAAAAAATAAACGACCCTTTTAATTCAATAATTTTGAAACTGATTAAAATCTTTCTAAATATTTAATTTTGAAACGTTATTTTTAGCATGTGCCAGGTTACGAGTACCAAATTGTTGATTAAAATAATACTAATAATATTTCAGTTAGCTGGTTCTGTATAAACAACTGATACGAGCCGACGGCGGCGCTTGCCGACGGGAACGAGCGAATGTACTATGTTGGTACGTGACAGGGTAATTGTTACTTCCTACATCTAACATCATTAAAGGAAAGCTAAAAAATGATATTTCTTAAAGAAAAATCCACCTACTTTTATAACAAATGCGAACAAATAGGCGATCAGATACAAATCAGAAAATAAACAAGTAAAAGTATATTAATATTATTGACCGGAATAACTTATAGGGATTTTATCTTGGTAACATGAGTAAGCCGCTGGAAGCAGGGCTTTCCAAGTGCCCTATCTGAAAGTCATTTGAGAAGGCCTAACTTCATTCGTGATGATGAAGATCATGATACTGACGTTTGGTAGAAACCGATTTAGTTTAAAGAGAGAATATATTCCTAAGTATACATAATAAGAAGTTTTAAAGTACTTTAAGAGGCAGGTCAGTGAGAGGATTGCTACAAAACAGCTAGGTACAGGAACATTGTTATTGTTAAGATCATATTACGCAGCCACATTCTTTTCTACCTACCAATTGATATAATACCTTATAATATAATACGCCATTTATACCTTGATATAAAGTATAATATTTCAATTGACAAATACACAACAAATCACGAAATAATCCATATAATTAGGTACGCGTGGGCGTACATTATTAGGTACTTATTTATTTTATTCTCGAATATTCTATAGGACTTATTTTGCCAATAAAATTAGTGTGGATAAAAATATTCTCAACCTTGGAGATAATAAATAGGCTTAAAGCCTATTTGGACCCAATTGTGAGAGGGTAATTTTGTTCTTTTCTTACAAACGCCGTCAATAGTAGATATTTATGTATATTTCATTGCGTGGAATTGTATTAATACAGTAATTGCCTTCCAAGACTCTCATAGAGTTAATAAAAGAAATATATAAGAAATAAATAAATGGCTATATCGCTTTTAAAAATGTGCTGTGGAAAAACATTGTAACATTAAATAAACAGCGTCAAACATTTTCTTGAGCTTTCAGACTATTCTAGAAATTTCTACTTTCTGAATATTCATTTAAGTAAGTCACATTATAAATTATAATCTATTAAGTAACAAATTATAATCGTCATGTTTTCATTCAACTACAAATAAAATTTAAAATCAATTAATTCGTTTTGATAATTACTTTGATTATTAATGCGTTCGACCAATAGCGTGTTTATTTTGCATAGAAGCCAACTGCAAAGAAATCCGATTCTCCCGGCAAATTACAACAGCATCAATAAAAGTTTTGGCAGGATTAACTGAGCCGCTCTACATTGTAAGAGCTTGGCTAATAATATAATTCACAATCATTTTGTGTGAAACTATATGTTATTGTTTAAATCAAATAAACATTATGCCGAATAGTTTACTAATGAAACCAAAGCTCACCTCGGAAAGTTAAAAACTTTGCACAAAATTATCAAAAGTACCTATTACAAGTTCTCATTTGTTTACATGCTACTCGTAAATTACGAAAACCCAATGAAATTAATTTTGCTCCATCACTGAATAATTATTAGGAAATAAACAACAATGACTCTTATTACATTAACTAGTTTAGTAGCAAAATATTTCTCTACTAATTTTATTGAAGCCGCTCGAGATTCATAAAATTGCGATAAAAGTTCATGAAAACTTGTTAAAAGTTTTCCGGAGAGCACAAAATTTACTATTTTCAGTCGTGAGGCTCAAGAAAAAGTAAAAAATGTTACATGCTTACCCTTTGGAGGGGACCACTGCCGCGCTGCCATATTGCAGCTGCGGGGCGAATTGAAGGGCCATGGTGGCCGCAGTGCTCGCTGGCAGACAGGGTTGCGCTTGCGGCGGCGGACCGAGAGGAACTCGCGGCACGGGCTCGTGCTCGCAGCTCGAGGGGTAGGTCGCGAAATGAAACGTGTTGAAGTGGTTTATCGGACAGTCGAGGTCGGGTAGAGACCATTCGGCCATGGTCTACTCATCGACATGGGCGACTGACTACTGCGCAAGGCGGGGACACGCGTGCATCTGTCGAGGCAACGCGCGCGCACTGACGCCCCGCTCGCGTCTCCCGCCGCCGATGCAACGCATAAACAAACTGCAAATCCTTTATCTGGCCGCTCCACGGCACTCGGCGATGTACGTAGTTAGCCGACTACTGATAAAGGGCGGTCTTGAGCAGTGTTCACACTAAACTAATTAATCAGCATGCTACTGCAACTATCATTATGATCCGATTACATAGACGACCCCTAATTTATGAGGCATCAACGCTAGTTTTTTCTTACGTTTTGTTTACATTATTACGCAGTATTTGCGAGTACAATAATAATGTACCTAGTTTTTCGTCACAGTTTTACATTTATTGGTATAATCGTATTAAGCAAAGTTTATGTTATTGTTACGCAGACCATATTCCTTCGTTTAACCTTAGTTGGGTTTGTTATATGAATGTGAGAACGAGACGAGATTATCATTGTCTCGCATCATTTGAACAAATTAGGAACGGCGAAGACTCGAGTACTTAGGTAGTGACTGACATACAGACGTACTTAGTTGTAATTGATTTAAGGTGAAGTGGTGTGATAGAGATTATAACAATGTTGCGGAGCGAAAACACGCCTTGTTTACCCATAAATCTGCTGTCGTGGTATGTTAGATAGGTATGTAGCGCTGATATCAGCCTGTAACGTTTACGGCTGAACGTTGGCCTCCAACCTAGACACAGCTACAATTAACGATCGACACATTCAGAGGCAAAATGCATTTATTTTATTGCTATTCTTGAAAGAATCGTCAATTACTCATTGCAGGAACGCAATGCAGTTGTTTCTGTTTCTGTGCTACGTGCATTTTAATATCCTTGGCTGTTACCAACTTTGTACTTTAGCGAATGGTCATTTCGTTAATTAGATGGGAATGTTAATAATAATTTAAATTATACAATTATCATTATCAAGACTTTAATACTGTGATGCCAATACTAATCTGTAAAGGTGACTTTCAGATGTAAATAATTACCACATATTATACTTAGTTACCAGTAGCAGGGGTAGTAAAATGAAAATTGAATGTAACAAGGAAAATTCTATGTTACATTTTGGATTTTTAATATGTATTATTTTAGCATAATTTAAGGTATAAATAGTAGTTCATGAATGAAAGGGAAAATATTTTCCTTGAAAGAGAATGAAGTTGGCAATATGCACCTGTCACTTAAATTAAAAGTTTAGTGTCAAGAGTAGGGAACGTGATAACTTCACCACACTTCAGTTATCTTGTCTGCAGAGAATTATGTGACGTATTATTTAGGAATACGATCTAAAATTATAATGTATCTGGCTTTGTAAGCTATTTTCATATTATTATGAATAAATTAAAATAATTATACATATTTTTTAAAGTGATAGGTCGGGAAACTAGCAGACTCATAACTTGATAGTAAGCCAGCGCTGCCTATGGACACTCGCAAAAACATTGGAGTTGCGAGCGCGTTGCCGACCTTTTGGGGATTTGGAGATATATTAGGGATAGGGGAAGGATTGAGCCTCCGGTAACCTCACGTACACGGCAAAACACAACGCTGAGGTTGTTTCACGCAGGTTTTCTGTGAGGCCGTGGTATTACTCAGGTTGAGCCGACCCATTCATGCCGAATTTATAAAACATACGTTCATTGTTCATAAAATTTAACAAAACTGAAAAGGGTAAATTTTTCGTTGCCTTAATATAATTGTGGTGTTTTAAATTATCTAACTTCGATTTCCGAGCGGTTTGTCAACCGGATCGAATCACTTTTTATATGCATTATCGATGCATATTTTCAGAAATTAACAATATCTGCTTACTCTATCGTAAAAAATAGTCAGTTTTAAAGTCTATGCCGTTTCAAACATTTGAATTTTTCGGACTATTTCGTTTGACGGGTCGACAGTTCACATTTTCGCTTTGGGCTTTGTTTGTGATGTTGACCTATTCAACATTCACGTTCTATGTGTGGGTGTATTGCATTATCTAGACATACAAACTCACCACATTATGATGTAGGTACATTTCTATCAAATTTTCAAACTATTTAAATATGAGAGTATTAACTATTGGGTAGCTACTATCTAAATATATAAAAATCAAAGGTAACTGATATAGTGATCTATCAACGCACAGCCCAAACCACTGGACGGATTAGACTGAAATTTGGCATGCAGGTAGATGTTATGACGTAGGCATCCGCTAAGAAAGAATTTTGATTAATTCCCCCTCTAAGGGGATGAAAGTTTCTTCTTAGATTTTCGACTGATTGAGCTGAAATTAAAGATTGATGAAGATGAGGGCTTAATTTTTATCACACGCTAAACAAAAGTAAAGCCGCAAAAACTATACCTAATTAATAATAACATTTTCTGACGCGAGCGAAGCCGCGGCCAAAGGCTAGTCTTCTATAAGTGGTTCCGCTTATGTGTTATTATATAAACTAGATATGTGCCAAATTTTATTGAAAATTTTAATCTTACAAACATTAATTCCTACATTTATAACATTCGTAAGATTATAAAGAATCCATTGGCTCCCCGCGGCTGGGACGATGCTCTTAGCAGGAGCCAAGTTATGTAGCTAGTAGTTGCCCGACGTGGAGCACCAGGGAAAGGACTTTCTTGGTCCCGTTTAGCGTCTTTTGGCTTATGACAATTATTATAAACTAGCTACTCCCGCGCGGTTTCACTCGCTGCTCGGCTCCATTCGATTGTAGCGTTGTGTTTTATAGCCTTCGGCACTCGGGAACATTGTATATCTATCAATAAGTGAAAGAATTTTGGAAATCCGACCAGTGGTTCCAAAGATTACGCCCTACATACAAACTTACAAACATACAAAGTTACAAATTTTACCTCTATATAAACATTTGTAGGTTGTTTACATTAATTGGGCTTAAATCTTTTCCTCCTAGCCTCTTTCCTGTTAGTTTTGGGGTAGGTATTGGCTTTGTATAAGACTCTGATTTCTACTATCCACTTATTACTGATACCAAATTATTGTTTAGTCATTTTCACATATTTTTAAAGTTTTTACATACATAAGAAAAGTATTTCTTTAATTGTGTTCATCGAATGTGTAGAAGAAGTTATTTAGGAAAGCTTACTTGATAAGAGCTGACAACGATTATTATTCCTGGCTTTGGTCAAAAGAAACATTTTAAATTTCAAACTGACCCCACACAACAGATATTTTAAAATAAAGTAAAAAACATAAAACGCGGCAATCGGCTGCCGCGCAACGTGTCGCGGGTTCGTTTCCCGCACGGAAAATTCTTTGTATGATCCCACAATTGTTGTTCTGTGTCTGTGTGTAATATATAAGTGAATTGTGAAATTGTATGTTTGTAAACGCACCAACGACACAGGATAAAATCGTAATGTAGGACTACGTTTCTAAAAAAAACAGACATAATATAGGTACATAATGATAAACAATAGCAAATAGGAAACGACAGAAACGCGTTTAATTCTATCCCTATTGTCTATTTTCATAAACAAAATTTGCTAACGTTCACAAAGGATGTGATCTTGCTGTTGATAATTAGGGCCTTACATCGATGTAATTAGAATTGAATATTGTCAGTCAATGTATTTTAAATGTAACATAAGTTTCGTTAATGTTATGGATACGTTATTCCTATATAAATGTGGTAAGTCCATTGTACACTCGGCTCTAGTTATGATTATCTTTCTTTCTGCTCAGAGCCTTCTAATGATTACTTAAATTATTCCTTAGTAATGATGTTGCCACAAACAGAGAAATATTTTCAACAAACATATGTCAAAGATTAAACAGACCTATAAACTATATAAAAAGTTATACCCCTACATTCAAATGTTATTCGAATGATTGACTAAAAGATTTTATTCTATTGGAGTCCTATCGAAAAATGGACGAGAAGGCGTTATGTCATATTTTGCTTAAGAATTTGATAGACCCTCTAAAATAACTTCCATGCCATAATTGTGTCAGATATTATTTCCATACCTCCAGTGAAAGTAAAATGGAAATGCAGCAACCGCGCTGTTGGCGATCCCGTGGATTGTAACTGTCACGTCCTAAATGCAGATTGAAAAATTAAAAACAACTAAAGCTAGTGAATAAGGACTATCTACATGATATTTCGGATCTGGTTACTGTTAAGATATAAGTGGATATCGGTTTTGTACGTTCAATTCGGAATTTTCGGATTTCGTACTTGGGTTTCGCTTTTCACATTTGAAAATAATATAATTGCTAGCGTTAATATTTTTTATTTGACAACATCGCGTCGCACAGCATGTACTTAGGCTCACACAAGATAACCGTTATAAAAAGTAAAGTTGAATGTGATTGGTGAGTTTTTTCATTTAATATATGCATCTCCACCTACATCAGCTTATTTTAAAAGTGTATCGACTAATTGATTACCATCAAGTTGCCCTAAAAGTCTTTCGCACCCTTATACCATAAAAACGAGAAAGAAATCCAATTACGACTACGAATTGATTTTTATTTTACTTTACGGTTCCAGTTACGAATCTCTTAAACGTCCCTAATTGAACAGATTAGACGTACAACCTGCACTCGTAAAGGGTTGACCGCAAACGACAGATACAGGGCGCTTCGTTTTTAAGTTTCACGATTTTTAAATGGGAACGAAACTACATCGATTGACTTAAAAACAGAAATAGAACCGAGGGCGACAAGTTAATGGATTTTTGTCATTCGTCGACTAATAGAAGTGCAGTTTCAGGTAGCTTTAATCAAATAAGGTAACTGTAGAGGGTATTATTGGCATTTGTTTTTGTTTCTTTGTGAGTTGGAGATGGGAGATTTAATCAATTTTGAGCTCAGTGCAATGCGTTTGTCATCTCTTCTTGTAAGTGTCGTTGAAAATGAATCTTCTTTATTAGATTTTTTGTGAGCGCCCTCTAACCAATTGATTAGACTAACAGAATGTTTGTCAGGTTGGAGTTATCAGGCTTAATGTCTCAAGTCTACCTCTTCTCATAAGGAGAAGATTTGAGCATTAATTACCACGCTTGCTCAAGGTAGATTGGCGATTTCGAACTTAAAATTACAAGTTATTAGTCCGTGATGTTTTCCTTCACCCTATGGTGATGGGGTCTAAATAATCATAGATCATTATGGTCATGATCGTGAATTCGTCCGGAACGAACAGAACGGGGTAGTGAATTGCGACTGGCTAGCTCCCGACTGTCTAAATATATTGTCTATATGGTTATTTTATTTTTTCGTTACTTTGAATAAAGATTATTATTAATAACATTACTGTCGTCACATAATCGACCCAACTCAATAATGTTATAAAGAACCCGTGTGAGAAAAAGTTGTTTAAAAAAGCTTCACAGAGAGGACTGAAGGACAGACTGATACTTTTTGCCTTTATTCAAAAGTCGCTGTAAGGGTCTAATTGTATTGAATGATTTTGATTTTGACATTCATAAAAATAAACTCTCCTTTTTTTGATTTCTCAGTGAATGTTTTCATCAAGGGCCATACTTGTATGAATTTTTTCATTCGGCATTATAGATGACAAATGTAAAGATGAGTCTTTTAAACGCTGATGTGATGATACTTAATCATAAGCCTCCAATATTAATAAAAGAGATTAAAACATAAAGCTGATACTATCTTTATTCTTAAAAATAACTGCACCATCAAACAATTTGGCGATACTCGTAAGAGCAGGAAAGACCACATAGATCCCTACTTTTAAATAAATTACCCTCGTTATTTTCCAAACACAACACCTACATACATCATTAATGTCATTTAGATAAGAAGAATGAAGATAGCTCTCAACATTAATATGATATTCACATATCATCACACCTTCTAATACCGAGAAGGATAAGTAGACAGGTAGAAGTGAATAAATACCCATCTCAACACACCATTTCAGCGGGGGTCGCGAGTCAAGCACACTAAAGTACCGCGGTCCGTGCTAGGAAGAGGAACAGAGTAGTTTTTGGTCAGTAAAAGTGTGATACTCCCTCCGACCTGCTTTTTTGTGTCAATGGAAAGTCATTTGATGACTTTTCCCGCCCAGGGTTAGGCTTTCTTATTGACTAAAAACCCATCCGTTTCTTCTCCTGCTCTGGGCTGAGGCAGTGACTCATTGCGCTTAACCTGCAATCCCGGCTGAACTAGAAGGAACAGCTCTCTATAGGGCCCCGTCTGTAATGGTCCATTGGCTTTTTGGTTCCTCCGACCTCACCCTGAGCAAGAAAAGTAAAATGATGCACAAAAAAACCCTATGTCATTTGCATAACATCCGCTCTTCATTATTTTCACATGGACATTGAATGATTTATTTAAAACGTTTTAGCGGCACTGCCTTACTGCCTGACTAACTGCTATGAATTTGAAAAATCATAGAAAGTACTGAACCGATTATTTCAATAAAACTTAATACTCGCACGTGCCAGTGTCTTAAAAGTAAATAACGAATTATACTTTAGTAACGGCTTTTTGCAACAATTGCAAAGGATTTTTTTTTATTGAAGGGTGACAATGGTCAATCGTCTTCTTCGCCTAGGGGCTAGAGGAGTCATTTGATGTTTATATTTTTACGAGTTGAAGTTGCGAGATTTAAATCTCTCCTTTCTCTGTAATCCCACTAACATTTTAAAAATAATTTATTTATCAATTCTGAGCATAGTGTAATACGAATGTCAATTCTTCTTTGAGGTTTAAATAAAAAATACGGGTTAAGTAGTTATTTTATTAAAAACTTTCATTAAAAAATTATCTGATGATATCATTCATAAAATATAGGGACGAAATCTAAGTAAGATATAAGTATTTAGGTTAATCCAGGTGATACAATGAAAAATAATGTACATAATATGCGTGTGTTCTATAAAAGAAGTTTCTTTACAACAAGGGTCACCGCAAAAGGGGACGAAGTGGCATACTACGTATTACCGCGTCACTTAATACTTTTATACAAATCAGCTGTCCTTCAAACGCATCACGTGTGCTTCTAAACAGTCGCAAAACATCAATGTACATACAAAAAACAGATTAAATTTGTACTTACCTACATGGAGGTCGGAGTTTCCGCTTACTTACCTTCATTTTTAATAAAGCACACTTATTTTTTTTTATATACATTTCAAGTCAAATAGTCCGAAAACATGTCACTCTTACTCAAAGTTCCAATTTTAAACTTTGGGGCTCTGTCCAACATAATAATTTTATTCTGAATTTTATAAAGAATACGTTATAAGTGAACCGTCTTAAAATCATGTTTATTGAATATAAAAAGTGTTTGATATTTTTTTACGGAATGCAAGTTAATGTCTATGTCTACAATACAACAAACGATGACCGATAGACGAGTTCAATTCGAGCCCCGGTAACAGACTGAGAAGAGTTTCGCAGAATACCCGCGCTTTCGGGCAACACGAGTCTCGATAGTCGCCAATACCGAAGGTGTATCGGGACCGAATGCCCACTTTCTCATTAAAGCTTTTTCTAAAGGGAATTTTTCTTTGAAGTAATGCTAATATGTACTTTAGAGTTAAGAACATAAGACTGCTAATGAAATAGCACTTGATAAATTTGTTATTAGTATTCGATTAGCTATGTACTATATCAGTATGGTGTCCGGTATGAGTAAGTTTGAAATAAAACATTAAAAGTCTATTTCTCTTTAATTTGCTCATTGGTGCTCCGTACTTCATTAAAAATTCAGTATAATTAATATACATATGTATATTACCAATGAGCCAAAGGTCAAAGGTGCACCTTTGACCAGGAATCATTCCTAAATATAAGAAAGCACACTTTCACGACGAGCTTTTTTCAAAAGCTTTGTGAAGAGTTTTTTAAAAACCAAGATACCTATTAACAACCAATTTTGGTTAAACGTGGTGCAATCAATGTGACTTTTCCGAGTTATTTGTACTTTCTTAGATTATTTTGTCGCCATCGGCATACGGCGGAGGAAAATAAGTAATTTCCAATTATACTTTTGAAATCGCCAATCCGCCTTAAGCAAGTGATGATTAATGCTCAAACGTTCGCCGTGTTTAAAGAGGCCTTCGCTCAGTAGTAGGCATCTATAGGCTGATGATGTTTATCACAACAATGGCATCGAAACTGAATTTTAATCCACAGGATTAGTAAAATGTATGTAAACCAAACAGATTTATGATGTAAATCACGATTCGAAAACAGTCGATGAAATCACAATTCAAATATTCCCTTTGTGGACGATGCGGTGGTAAAATAAATAAATAAAAGCTATTAATTTTGCTCATTGGTTTCGATATTAATCCCCGTCAATGGTTGTCTCGCCAAATACACGAATTGTTTATTGAGGGCAATATTACATTAATTAATCCTGGATTTGTATTTGTTTACATAAAATTGATTATTAAAACCTAAACCTATTTAACTGAATAATTTAAGGAACGGGGTGATTTTAAATCAGTCGCTCCCTCTCGCACCGCTCATTGCAGGAGAAAAATTGTAACGATTTCCCTCACAAAAAAAAAACGAATGCACTAGTGAATACTTCAATGAGAGTCCAATAAATATATGAGACGTTATGCCAACTCCTAGCGAGACCCTAACACAAAAACAACAAAAATCTCAGTATTATTTTCCCAATCTAGAAGTGGAACCCGAGATCCCTTGCAACCAAACGATCAAAGCGGTAGTCTAATTAATTAACCAGTTCCCGATACCAAACGAACTGGCTACGAAAACACACATTTTTTTATTTTTTTCGTAGCATGTCTGTAGGCGCTCGTAGCTGCCGTAGCCGTAGAAGCAAATTTTTATTATTTGTTTTAATGTCGATGTATGATATTTTTCATCTTTTAATGGTAAGTAGGGGCAAAGCTTTTTTATACTTTTGCATGTGATCCTTTGATTTGTGATTGCAAACGTATGGAAGTATCTTTTTTTCAGTTGCCTGGCGAGCACCTTCGTATTGCATCTTTTTTGTTTACCATTCGCCCATTAAATGTGAATTCTTCAATAATTAGATGCTTTCAGTAAATTAGACGCATCCTTCCAGACCTAACAGAAAATTTTGAAAGGCAGGCCACGTTTGTTAGATACGATTTATAAATAATATTGAATATATTTTTGAAAATGTCTCGAATAATTAAATATCGGTAAATGGTTTTTTTTAAGTGCCTTACCAAATTTTGTTTTGCACAATCCGCGGTGCGCATGCCCCGCAACCCCGGCGGTCATATTATAACATAACATTTCCTTGTTGATGATGTTTGGTAAGAAAGACTATCCTTACTTACCTTCCTTTTAAAACAATATTAATTAGTGTCGTATGACAAAACATAGTCCCCTTTATTGTGATTTCGTTAATGTGAGATACAAGCGCTTCAAGGCATACAAAATAATGACCAGGGATATTTTACTTCCTCATATTATTGATATGTTTTGAAATTCTATCCAATTTTAATTATTCTTCACGGTACTACTACTACTATACTGAGTTATGGCTTACTACGATTCAGTTTTATTTTAACAAATTTCTACTCTGTGTCCTTGTTTTAAACCCACTTTTAGAAGACTATGTCTTGTTACTGAATCGATTCGTGTATTTTGTTCGATAGACACGTTTGTAATCTCTCAATCAAACAGACGGAAGATTGATTGGTTCTATTTCCATAACAGTGTCTAGTATTTGAAGTATCGCAAAATCTACATAGATCTATTCTGAATCGGGGTACGATTAGCCTGACGATAGCCTCTATGTTAAAAACCCTCTTGTATAAAAATAAGAATAAAATATCGAATACAAAACTTCAGGTTATTGGCTAAAACTATGATAAAAGACTTTCCTGACACTTATACTTTTGTCCAAATATATATCAGTAAGTTTAGGCGCTTGCTTCTTTTGCATGAGGGTGCGGGCTCCAAACATATAATGTGACTTTTTCTGAGTTATATGGGCATTTTAACGATTATACAACACTGACATAATTATGGTGAAGGAAAACTTTGTGAGGAAACCTGGACTTATAATTTCTAATTACAAGTCAAGACTTGTAAGTTGTAATTCGGACAACCACGATTGCTCAAGAGCAAGCGTGGTTGTTAATGTTTGAACCTTCTCCATGTGAGAAGAGGCCCTTGCTCAGCAGTGAGTCACTTATAGGCTGACGCTGTGCTGAGTGACTCTCAATAGTTGAAAGGTTTCTAAACAAACCCTTATCTCTAGTCTTCCATACTGAACGCTCTAATGTAGTGACTTAATCGGTTTTCTAAGCAATTCTGTTGCAATGTTGATTTGAAATTCCTAATTTGAATGACATTATAGACTCACGTCCTCAGGGAAATATGTTTTACTGCATTTCATTGTGATGCACACATACACATTTTGTTGCTCCTAACAAAATAATGATATGTATTGTGTTTTGAAGTGTAAAAGGTAAGAACTTCATATAGCAGCCGATATGATCTTAGGACCCATGTCTCGACAAGAAAAGACCAGAAGTTTGTTTGCTTTTACTTTCCTAATTGAACTTTCCAAAATCCATATGTAGATTTCATTATCCAACAACTGTTAAACTGCCATGGTGGCCCAAATCCGAGCAAGCGGGTGCAGATTCTTTTTTGATGTGATAATTATAATATGTATGTCCTTCAAAAAATTTAATTAATGTATGTAAGTGTATGACACACTGTAAAAGGATGAGCTAGTCACAAAACTTGGCCATCTGATTTCTGATATACGTTTGCTTGGTAATCAATGCTATATTTTTGTTGTGAGAAAAAACCTTAACTCAGTAGCGGATACATGTACGTACGCTGATCATGATAATGACTTTCATTTGCAATATGTCCAATTCAAACTGGTTTACTAACTCTAAAGAGAAATCATATTTCTTTTTAGTTTTATTTGCGTATGTTTTTACTTTGTGTACAATAAGCAGTCAGCATTATTAAGTCTTCTTTCAATAAAGCGGCTCTAATATGAAAGTGCAAAGTTACCCAAAGAGCAAAGAAAATACTTGTGCACGGAAATTTCTTGTGTACCAGAACGTGTGCACTTTTGTTTGCGTTTTCAAAGGACTAAAATACTTAAGTTTTCCCTTTCATTCGCTTTATTTTGACATAGTTTAGTTGCCTCGTGTTTATTGCTCATTTAAGAAAATTTCAGTGTTTCTCGAACTTAAAATTGTTCATAATTACTTAGAAATGTTGTATATATCGCTCTATATCAACCATAATAAAAATTTTAGCTGGGATTGCAGGTCAAACGCAATTAATGTGCCGCTATCTCGGCTTGTAGTGTGGGTGTAGGGTGGTTTTTAGTAGTGCGTCAGAGTTGTTTTCAGAAACTAGCGTACCAGATTTTTCTGATCTAATTAAGCATAGTATTGCTTGCCCCAACAGCTACGTAACTATTGTGGCAAGTAAAATATACAGCCTTATTATCAAGCATTGGATGACGTCTCACTAAATTTTCGAGAGGTGGCAAACCTCCTTGCCGTATCACTGCCATGGAGTGTAGAGGAGAAGGCACGCGCGTGTGTCTTCAGTTTCTGCGCTAAAGCGCGACGCTAGACCGGAGAGAAACTCCACTGCGCGCCAAATTTGGTGCGTAGCGGAATTAGCTCCGGTGCCATCTCATGGCAGAGCGGCCTCGCCTCTCACTCATGTGAAAATGATTCCTGCGTTGGATTAGTAGTTAGGAATTAATGTGAAACATAGTAACTTTAGTAAGTTGAGACTATTGCGGGTTTATAAATATTAGTTTCACTGTATAGGCCATATTGAACTAGAAAATAGTACGATATTTTTTTATAATAAAAATTCTGAATCCTTATTCCTTTCCTTTATTTGCAAATGCATTGTAAAAGTGCTTCGAATTGTTTCCGCGAAAAAAGATGGCGGTTCTCATTCGTCGAAACCGGCATTATTTACACGCTGCAGTGGATGTAGGGGTAGTTTTGTTTAATTTACTAACGGAATTAATCCGATGTTTGAGTTCATTTTTGGCACATTGCATAAAACCAGGCTTAGAATAATTTTGTAGGCAGGAATAACAAAGAACTGTTTGGTTCTCTGTCTACCTACAAGCAAGAAGCAAAGAGAGTTATACAAGGACGGGCGTGGGGTTCCAAGGAAAGTGTAACCGTAGTTTAACTTTTAAAAATATTTCTAGACTTATTCATGCACAGAACTACATAATAATATACTTAATAAAGTCTTTTCGCAATCATCATCTTCCTGCCCTTGTCCCGTTTTATTTTAGGTCGGCGCAATATGTTCTTTTCTTCCATTCTGTCCTGTCACTCGTCACGCTATCGCTAACTCCTCTGTCTTCCATATCACTTATCACAAAAGTCTTTTCGCAATAGCGGATAAAATTTAATATCTACCTAAAGTACTTTTGAAGGAATTTAATGCAATATCACAGTAACTTGCATACCTATAAGTGGAAAAATTCGATATTTTATAAATATAAATATTGATATTTTATAGGTATACACATATCGACGGCTTTTAATATCGTACATAACTCGCGCCTTCAGAACGATGCGTAATGATCCTTATAGTAAAGAAGGCAAAGTCGAAATAAATTTCACATGAAAATAATATGTAGGTGCTGAATGGCGTGCATCAACTTTTCGTCACATAAACATAAGTAGTAGGGGCGAGTATTCACATACAACAGGCACAATGTCGAACCCAATGCTGTTTTCCACTAACATATTCAAAACTGAAAATGTAATAAAACTTTTTCTTGTTTTAAATCAAACTTGGGAGTTGTAAAAGAGTTTCAAAGATTCCTTGGTTCCGTAACCATCTCATGGTATTTTAAAAGTGTATTTTAGGTATACATATGGTGCTCTTACGATGTCGACCTTCTGTCGTCGTTTTCATTGTACTCAAAAGTATTGATGTTTCTTTTTAACTGCAACTGAATTGAAATTTTCCACAAATATGTATGACTGCATACGAACTTGTTCGGCAAAATTTGAGCTCGTCGTCTATAAATACTTTCGATAACTTATTCAAACCGATCATTTTTACTTGTATTTTATATGAAAATACACTTACCTTGTCGTGGATACAGTTGAAGAGTCATCGTCTCCGTAGATAGTGGAGACTGGTGATTGGCGGGCATCATCAGAGTCGTGTTGAGCATCTTCGGAGTCATTGCGGCTATTTTCAGAGTCATTGCGGCTATTTTCAGAGTCATTGCGGCTATTTTCGGAGTCGTTGTGGCTATCTTCGGAGTCGTTGCGGCTATTTTCGGAGTCGTTGCGAACATCTTCGGAATCATCGTGTGCATCTTCGGAGTCATTACGAGCTTCTTGTGAGTCATTGTGGATGTCATCAGGATCGTTGCGAGCATCTTGAGGGTCATCTGGAGACTCTGATGCTGGTGAGGGGGTCGGGAGGTAGTCGCGAGTGCTGCGGATCACGCCCGGCTTGTGGCTCTGCGTGTCCGCCATGTCTGCTAAAGCTGAAATGATAAAATATAAGTTTGATTAAAAGTATTGTTCAATGATCGCAATAAAAGGCCAATTATTGTAATTGAAAATTATTGAATTAAAAATGGAAACGTTTATGTATGTATGCTGCCTGCCCAGAATTGATAGCAATATGCTTTAGGTTTGTTATTTAAATTAGTCAGGTCAAAATAAAGAATACCAAGATGAGGGAAGAAAGAAACAGAATATATAATGGTTTCTAAACACAGTATAATAATGGTTTGCGGCCCCGGCTTGGAGCAGGAGAAGGAATAGAGTGGATGGCTTGACGAAGGATGGTTATAAGTCAGTAAGAGTCTGACACTCCCTCTATATAATTATTAATAAGTAATTAGATGATTTTCTCCTCAAAAACATTGTTTAGTAAACAATCATAATTTGTTTGACACGGATATGAAGAGTATGTTATCGTATATTATTCTCACAAGGGATAATGTTAAAGCAAAAATATAGGTTTCAAGTAAAATTTTAAATCAAAGGTTTCCAACAATTTCAATTTAAATTGAAGTTGAGTCGCGTAATATCGTTGCATTTCAAAAAAGTAATTACTATATTTTAAAAAGTTACACCGATCTGGCTTCTAGAGTCTTTTTCTAAAAGTAAATGCATCAGCGAATGGAATTGCGTAACAAAAATTATAAGTTCCATGCGGAACGCCGTAATAAATAGGTAAATATGTTCTAATTTGCTCCGTATGAAAGAATACATAGAAGAACAATTGCAAATCAGCTATCACCCTCCCTAAAACAAAAAACGGTCGAAATAGCATTCTTTGCGACCCCCAGCCTTCGTTCCTCGAGCCGATAACACTTGTAGAAAAATACCCAGCACAGTATAGTTTATAATCGATCTTTTGTGTGACTAGTCAATTCTTTAAAGGAACATGTATGTTCCAGTTATTTATAAATAAATACTTTGTTATGTTTATCCTGATGAACCTGCTACGCACAATTCAACAGACATTCTGACATTCAAATCTAGCATTTGGCAGTGTACACAATCAGTCGATAAAAGATTTGCAGTGCAACAAGCTTCATTGTCACATGAAAGCAATAAAATGACGTCACCCAATTAGTCAATCATTTTAAAACGTTTTATTACAATGAAGAGTAAGTAAAGTCTTTAAAAAACTTTTGATAATTTATATAATATATATTTTTTTCTTTTAAAATCGCCTCACATTATGATTTTCTTCTGTGTCGTCGTGTGTGTGCGTTTACAAACATACAATTTCAGATATAAATCACACGCAGACCCGGTACAACAATTTGTGGATTATACTTGAAGAGTTCTTCCTTGCAGGAATCATACCCGCGACACGTTGCATGGTTGCCAGTTCCAAAGCCGCGCCAACCGTACACTTTTTATCTACAGTTTAAGTATACCAGAAAATTTTAGTCTCCTCTCAACTTCTATCTTTCACCATAATACATATGTCTGAACAAACTTAGAAAGTACGTATAACTCGGAAAAGTTCACATTAGTACCTACCAAGTTTGAAGGGGCTTTTTTATGAAACGAGCAGGCTAATCACCTGATTGATGGTAAGCAATCGGCGGCTTCAATGGACACCCGTAACAAGAGAGGAGACCGTTGCTGGTATTTTAGGGATATGGGTTTCGGATATTTTAAGATTGGGAAGGAATGGACACACCAGTAATCGCACTCACAATGCTGTGTGGTTGCTTTACGCCGGTTTTCTGTTCTGAAACCGTGGTATCACTCTAGTCGAGCCAACCCATTTGTGCCGAATCTTGGCTCTCCATCACTTATCGATGGGTATCGCGACTTTTATTATTTGTAAGTAAAGAAAATATTTATCGTTGAACTATCTCTACCATTACATTGTCATGTGACTACCTACTACTACCATACATGATGATGTTAATATTTTGTGGAATTTTCAGCTTTCTGAGTTCAAAGCCCTCTCTCCGAAACATTAATGCGTCCTGAAAGTTCCCTTCATATGCTGCGTTTTGTTCCGAGCTAGGACTGGTGTTGGTAAAATTTTAATACCTGCACGAAACTATTTAGTTAGAGAAGTTTTATTATTGCTCTAATGAGTTTCGGATTTTACTCTACATGACTTTGAGTTTTCAAAGTGAAGCGAATTTATCGATTTTGAATGCTCTATTAGCTAGATGGTGATTTTGTATCACTCGATATATTCAGGTAGTTCACTTAGGGCTGATTTTTCAATGGTAAGATAAAAGTAATTTTAAGAATAATTATGATGTTGTCACGTCAGAATGTTTGTATAAGACAACAACAATTTTATTCCTCAGATAACATTTATCTGACTATTGAAAATTTGCCCTTTAGATATTTTTAATATTTTTAATATTATTTTGTCTGATTTTGGTTGCCTGGTTGAGAATGCTTTTAGCGACAAGGCCGCCTTGGTACCCAGTACTATTGTATACTGTAATTTTTATATACGCATGTCAACTCTTTTGGTGTACAATAAAGTTTGTTTATTATTATAATTATTATCTTAACATATCATATAATTACTTTAAAATAGTAACGATAGAGTTTTTTGCACGATCTTCTCCATTCTTACAACTACATTTTACTTAGACGTTTCGAAAGTATCTACGATTGTTTATGCTCTAGTTGGAATAAATGACTTTGACTTTAAAGAGTTAAATAAGTAAGTAAAAAGTAACTTGCTTAGTAGTCACACAGTGCAGCGATGATGAAAATAAATGTAACACGAATAAAATTCGAATCCTCAAATATTTAAAAATGCCAATTCCTTTTCGACGTCTTGCTCCGAGCGCGGTTGCAGGAGCTCTGGAGACAGTTTAGTGACATCTCTCAGAAATGCGGAAATTGGCATCTACCCTCACTTGGTTTGGTTTTTTACACGAGATCCGTGTGCAACTTGATTTTGCGTTATTTCTTTTTATATTGAACTAACTATTCTCGCGCGGTTTCAGCCGCTGCTCGACTCCTATTGGTCGTAGCTTATAGCCTATGGCGACAAATAGAACGAATAAAAAATAATTATTTAAATCTAACCAGTACCTAGTACCAGAGATTAGCGCGTTCAAACAAACAAACTCTTCAGCTTTATATTATTAAGTACTTATAGATTTTTCAGATAAAAAAATAAAAAAATTGAATTATTTTTTTGCAAATCGAATTTCTCTTATTTGAAAGTGGCTTGACTGGGATCTGAATCCATCCATGATCAACAACAGAATAAATGTACGTTTTTGTAAACGTAGTTCTATTACAATGAAAAAAGTTTATCAAAATATAATTTCAATGCAATGGAACTCATATAGCCTGTATATCTTGGTTCTTGGTTCCATGTCAACTTAGGTTTTTAGACATAACTTTTCACAACACACACGTAATGAAGAGCAACAAGTCTTTTTTAAACGGACTGATACTTCCAGATATTCATACTAATAATATAATGTATTCATACTGTTTGTTTACCAAGGAAGTAGACTGAATGAAATTTATATTTCTATGCTTATACATATACAAATATTCTGTATTTGTTGAAAGCTAATACCCAGCTACATCTTACACCTAAAATTCAACAACAAGGGCACCGACAATTTAATACTTAGCGTTACAAAGGTACCTAGTTATTTAAAATGATTGCATCACTGCTCATACATAATTAGAAGCTGCATTTCTCAGAACTTCTCAAAGGATAACTAACACGACTTCGAATGAAGCCAAGCTTAAAAATATTGTTAGTCGCTAGTTAATATTGCTTGCACAAGCAAAATCGGCCTCGCGACGATGTTACCTTCATCTTGTTAAGAACCATTTTCTCTTGGATGAGCAGAGAACTACGGTAACTAGGTAGTTAGTTAGAATATGTTTTTATCGTGTGAATGGGGTTGCCCAAGGCCCATTTATATCTAAATGTCTAAAACCCTGACTACGAAAGGCCATGTCCATAATGTTTGCTTACCATTAAGTTACCATCAAGTCAACCATAATTATGCTTGCCAGCCCTTATTAAAATATATAACTATTATAACTAAGTGAAATTTTGTGTAAGTACGCTTACTACTTACTTCCTAGAGCTTATTATTAGCATTGTTTATATTTTTTACTCACGAGTATAAATAGCATGTAAGCCTTCTAAAAAATAAAGAGTTTATTTTTTCAAAAATTTTTCAATTTGTATTACTTCATATACAGTTTTTGATAAAAATATTACAAGAGGTACTGTTACTGGATCCCAAACGAGGCCATAAGCCTGTATCTTGGGAGGCAGTCGCTCAAAAGGTCGTTATTAACTACATAATTATTTCGGTGCTTGGGTATGTTGTAACAAATAAATATTAAGAAAGTGAAACAAATGCCATGCTTCGGCACGAATGGGTCGATTCGACCGGAGTGATACCACGGCCTCACAGAAAACCGGCGTGAAATAACCAAACAGTTGTGTTTCGCCGTGTGAGTAAGGTTACCGTATGCCCAATCCTTCCCCTCCCCCAATCCCTAAATCTCCAAATTCCCTAACCCTCAAAAGATTGGCAACGCACTCGTAATTTCTCTGTTTCGGGTGTCCATGGGCGGCGCTGGTTGCTTGCCACCAGGTCATCAAGTCTATTACATTAAAAAAAACAATTAACTTTTGAAGATAAGTGACATTGTACACATTTTGTTATACACTAATCTCTGTAACTATCAGTCCGATTTGAGAAATTCTTTTTGCATTTGTCAGTTTATTAGTTAAGTAAGGTCATGGTATTGGTTTTAACATCGAGCTTTCATATTATGTTTCAAAACACGCGCCATGATGAAACAATATCGATGAAAATTGGAAAGGAATCATTTTTCGTTTTTAAATTGATATACATAATTTTTCTTGCCCTCTGTTGAGTGAAGAAAAAGTCTTATCATAATTGATATAAAGACATACAGATTAAGTTGATACAGTGATTTAGTAGTTTATTCTTTTTATTTTTTCTAACGTTGGACCATGTTGTATTAA